GACACCACAGAAACCAAGCTTGGGCTACCTGTGTATGGATGTATATATTTTGAAATTTTAGTTATATGCTACTATTGGGTATTCTTGAATTATTCATTTAGCTTTGTTATATAATAGGAACACTTCATCCTGGTGATGAGATAAGAGAGATCAATGGTGTTAATGTGGCTGATAAATCTATAGAAACACTACAGGCAATGCTGGTAAGCATGCATCATTCATACTCAAAGGAAACTAACGGGACGAGATACTTCTCAGTAACGAACATTCAGTAATGGAAGTTTTGTATCACTAGTCATGCGGCTGCTCGCGGCGGCACGCCTTATTTTAGATGGCGCCCAAAATAGATTCACGTATTCACTAAAGCTCATCATAAATAGCATTATCGTGCGAYGATTGAAATATTAAATAATTAAATATTGATGATAATGGCGGGGAGATTAAATGGTACACTTCTACGTGAAAATGACGTTACAGCTACCAACCTGGTAGGGGGAGCGCGTTATATTTAGCTCTGCTGATAACAATGTTTGATTTAGTAATCTTTCTAGATGATAGTAATGATAATGGTGCTGGTGGTAATTGGTGATTATAATTAGTAACCATGACAATATTATCTATTTACAGAAAGAAGCAAGTGGTAACGTAACATTCAAAATCGTTCCCAGTTCCAGAGGGCTTAGTACAAACTCAGATGTAAGTCTTTCATGAAATGCAATGCGCGCTAAAAGGCTACGTAGTTCTTGCCTTGTTGGATGGTGTCACGTGATCCCCTCGATTTGCTTGATGAGGTCACATGTTACTTGGCCAGCGGTGTGCTTAGTTGGCTCACGTGATACTCGACCAGCGGTGTGCTTGGCGGAGTCACGTAATGCTTGGTCAGCGGTGTCCTAGGTGGAGTCAAGTGATACTTAACAAATGTCATGTCTTCTGATCACATGGTTTGTCTGTGTGCAGCTAGACATTTTCTAAACCCTTTCTTTTACTTGTAGGTGTTTGTACGAGCACTGTTTGACTACGATCCACGTAGCGATGATCTAATCCCATGCCAACGTGCTGGAATGGCGTTTCACTGCTCTGAGATCATGCAGGTTGTCAGTAAGGCTGATTGCTACTGGTGGCAGGCTAAAAAGATTAGCAATGACGGCAGTGACGAGAAGTTTGCTGGACTTATACCGTCACCTGAGCTACAAGAATGGTAAGAACACTGCGTCACTCATATCACTCGTTGCGCGCTTTCCAACTGAAGCTGCTCAGGACGAGCTTCCATTAAGAAGGCGCGACGAATAGTTTTCATTTGATTTGGGAAAGCACGGCACGGTCACAGTGTATTGTATTTTTTGAACCAATCAGAGTGCGTGAGAATACATCTTATCCAATCAAGAAAAGAGTAACATTGGCCTGGTTTTGACAAGCCATGGTATATGTACCCGTAAAGTTGAGAAATGAATATCCGTTAAATCAGTCAAAACGCGCGATATTTCTTTACGGTACGAAAAATCCTTACGTCGTACCATCATTTCTCGGCTTAAATATCGTTTTATTTGTTGTAACCATTATTTTTCTCTTGTCAGGAGAGTTGCTTGTATCGCTACAGAGAAAGCAAAGAAACAAAACGGTGGTAAAAACAAAACAGTTCTCTTTTCGGTCTTTGGGTATTGAACTTAGTTTTTTTCTGAATAGTATTCTAGCTGTTTTATAACGGTATTTTTTTTGGATTTACAGCTTCGTGTGTTTGGTTTAGTCGAAAAAAGAAAACATACAGAGATCGATATGTTGCGAAACATAATGCAGGTAACAACAATACCAGCTCATAAATGACTGACGCTCTGATCCAATCAGAACGCTTGAAAATACATACTGACCAATCACACGTAATATGACTCTAATCAATGTGTTTTTTTTCCTTTAGTTTTCGATCGCTTAGATTTGGTTACGTATGAAGAAGTCGTTAAAGTTGACTCGTTTAAAAGAAAATCTCTTGTTCTTCTTGGTGAGTTTTAAATTCCTGGGTTTTGCGTACTTCTATACCCTCCTTTCCTCAAGCCGCAAGATCTTGTATTTGGAAAGAAAGAATACAGCTGCCCTCAAAGTAACACAGGCACACGTTTGGACATGTCGGAATTCCTTTGTTTATTTAGCTACCCTATGGATACATGCCGATATTCTATCGTTTCTGCGCAAAAGTTGAAGCTTAAAGGCTGGTTTTCGCTAGCGACGGAGTTGGAGTCAGATGCTCTTCGAAATCGTAAGAATCGGCCCAATGTTTCCTTTTGCTTGGCTCGTGCTTATGCTTATGACGAGCAGTTTTCACTTGCAATTTTATGCATGCGACAAAATGAGAATCGGAATCGAAATCGGAATCGGAAGCAGTACAAGTGAAAACCAGCCTTTATTACGTTAATTAGCGGCATGCAATGTAAGTTAGTGCCTTCCTCAGAGTAAACCAAGCTCCCCGTGTTAATGCCACTGCCGAAAAAGAACTGGGCGAAAACGTTTGGTGTTTACGTGATGTGTGTTTAATATTCAGGTGCTCATGGCGTCGGTAGAAGACATATCAAGAACACACTTATTAATAAATTCCCTGACAGATTCGCTTATCCTATACCACGTGAGTATTACATGACATTTATTAACACTCATACAATAAGGAAAGGAAAGGGTTTATATTTGTGGGGGTGGAGGGTGGGGATAGTTTGGGCCTAAGCTCTCCCCTGAGGGGGGAGGTATGGCTTGGTGTAGTCAGGAAAAGTTCATGTTTATGGGATAGGGTAAAGATTAGATCAACCCTGAACTCATGAGAGAGTGGAGTAGATATTACCTTTATATCTGAAGGGTTGGGTAGGTTGGGTTAGGAAAAGGTTCGTATTTATTGGCATGGGGTGAAGATTAGATCAATCCTGAAGGGTAGTTTTGAGTGTCGGGAATAAAAGAACTCATGGTAGGGTGTGGTGGGCATTACCTTTGTACTTGAGAAGTAGGGGGGGGGGGGGGGGGGGGGGGGGGGGTTAGGAAAGGTATCGTATTTATTGGGGTCTGGGTAATCAAAAGCTCGGTACGCTGCACTTTCCCTCCCATGGCCATTTCCCACGCGGCAGCCATGTTAACTGGAACGATAGATCCTTTTCCCGCGTATCCTCGCATTCAATCGCTTCAGGAAGAAGTTACGCGGGTTTTTATTCCCATGAGAATAACATATAAAGATCCCATCAATCTGAATCTGTATTTCTTGTTTTGTGCAGATACAACTCGTGAACCAAGGATGGGTGAAGAAGATGGAAAGAACTACTACTTCGTGTCGGCAGAAGAAATGATCGCTGCTATAGAAGCAAATAAATACCTGGAGTACGGCACCCATGAAGGTGCTATGTACGGGACCAAGCTAGATACTATCACTTCCATCATAGATCGTGGTCTTGTGGCAATCTTGGACGTCGAGCCACAGGTACCTATACACTAACGAACCCGGGAACTTTCTGTTGACTTTGAAGACGAACTCTTACCTTTGGACAACAATCCGATATCCGACGAAGAAATAACTTTTTAGACGGTGTTTAAGTTTCCTTGTRTTATTCACTTGTTGTATTCAACACACGAACACAGTCCCAACTAATAATCAATAGTCATTATCAACACGTTGTAACCTTTAGATTTTAGATATGACTTTAGGACTTTAGGGATAAGAAGTCCCTCATTCCTTGCCTGGTCCCAAACACGTAAAGCCTTCAGCGCACCCACCTAATGATGTCCCTTGTACACATTCCGTGGCTTATCAAGAACGAACCTCATTGGATCATTTAGTATCTCGAATAAATGTTTACTGTTAAGCTAATGAATCCATATTCTGTTTAGGCTCTCAAAGTCCTTCGAACTTCTAAGTTTTCTCCATATGTGGTGTTTATCTCGGCACCGATTATGGCTGTAGAGATGAACGACAGACACGACACTTCTAGTGATCCTAACAAAGCTGAGGCGGTAAGTTCAATTTAGATTCGTTAAACCAATCAGCACACGGCACGATACGACTTCAGATGAACCCATCACGGTACACGAGACAATCTCGTCACGATACTTCAGTTAAAGTGCACCAAAAAATGAAATCAGTTGAACCAATCGAAGTGCGTAAAAATTTGACGTCACGGTACTACGTCAGTTTGACTCAATCCACACACGAAAAAATCACGTCAGGGACGTCAGTTGAACCAATCACATTGCCTGAGAAAATGACATCATTTTACGACGTCAGTTGAACCAATCACAGTGCGACATAGCACGGTCATGTTAATATACGTCGTTTGTGCCATTCACGACGCACGAGAATTCCTCGTCGTGGCAAGGTTCTTCTCGGCCAATCGAGATAACTCGGCACTTCCACTTTATAACCCTAAATTTGATCGATTCTTGCTTTCCTTTTCCAGGACTTGAGTCTCAAGCGACTGGCCAAAGAATCAGATACACTACGTCAATCATATGGTCACCTATTCGACCTGACTATCGTCAATAATGATATCGATGAAACCATTAACGTACTGGAGGAAGCCCTTGAAAACCTCTCTCAGAGCCCGCAATGGGTGCCGGTCAGCTGGATTTATTGATAAAGATATTACGAATAATGTTCATGTGCAGATGGCCTCACTAAGTAGCGCGCACATTACCAGAGTCCCTAAAATATAAGCAAAAAGTAAACAATACTAAATAATTGAACGAACTGATTTTGTTTTTTTCAGATGTTTTATTGGTTAGAATGCTAGGAGTAGTTAACGGCTTCTTCTTCTGCGAACTCTTTACATAACTTAATTTATCCTCGCTTAATTGCTATGTTTTTTGTTTGTGTCGATCAGATTTGTTATTTTAAAAATTGATAATGATGAACCAGGCGAATGGACGGTGAAGTGCGGTTATCGCCGAGTGTCCATTCACCCGGATGCGCACTGGAGACATTTAGTTAAAAATTCTTGACATTAATAAGAAAGGTTTTTGAAACCTTCAGACATGACAGCAAATTCTAATAATGGGTGCTTGGCGATAATATTATATTTCAGATTTCTTGAACTTGGGCTGTGGTTCTATAGGACCACAAAACTCGCCTCGCTGTAAATTTCAGACAAGTCTTTTCTTCCTTATGTTTACTAAGGGACCCGCGCGTAGCAAGACAGTGTGGCTCTTTTAGTTTGATGCTATCGTTCCTTGTGACTTTAAAGCTCGCTTGGGTAGGGAGAGAGGGTATTTGCATCAGATGCATGAGGCTATTGGAATTATTGGGGCAAGCTATTATTATTATTGTGTATAATGACCTGTGGGAATGAAACGCAGGTGACCACGAATTGTCTGGTTTTCTTTTCCGAAGATAAGCGCAACCTGGCGCAAGCGTAAAAAGCACATAATTTTTTATCTCTTGTGCCAGGATGTCTTCAGAGAAAGCGAAAACTTGAAGTCAAGTGTTTGTGTAACTCGATATTGTGTCGCTAAGTGAAAGCTATTTTTAACGCTCAAGGGAAGTTTTGTCTCCTTGTCTTTCAGGTGGCTCAGGTCAAACGTCGAACTTCACGTGAGCCGAACCTAATTGAAACAATGATAGCAAGGCGGTCTTCTCTGATGTCATTAGGTTCGGCTCACGTGAAGTTCGGTGTTTGACATGCATGAAAATGTTGCTAGAAAGCAATGGATAAAAAAGTGTTGCGCGATTTTATTTTCCGCACATTTTACTCTACAAAAGATCGTGACTCTTAAAATCAGTCACTCGTTTTACACATTTTTTTCAACCTTATGTTGCCTCTAATTATATCAAATTTTTGTAACCAGTCTAATATTTCTTTAGATTCTTTTTACGTCTAGATTTCTTATTCTTCTTATTGAGGGCTGAATCCCTAAACGCGATAGCGTAGAAGTAATTCTTAATAAGTTATCACAAATAAAAAGTTACCAAAAGATAGACCTTTGTATTGACTTGACTTGCAAAAAGGGATAAACCATAAGATAATTTGGGAGGGGGGTTGCAGGAATTTATGTTGCACGATATTTATTTCTTCGTAACAACTCGTGCACGCATTTTTTGTTTGCTCGAAATTTCTTTACTGAAAGGAGAGGTTGCGCGCTATTTTTGTCCATCTCAAATGTACGCAATGTTTCACCGTGTTTCTCGGTGTTTGTCTCATCGCAGCCTTGATAATAGATCTAAATTATACTAGCGCTTTATGTTCTTAGGATATTAAAGATAACTGAGCAAAATAATTGTACTCGCGGTTTTCCTCCAAGCTAACATCCCTTGCAGGGGCGGGAAGGCAACCCTGCATGGTTAAAGGAAAACAAATTGTCAATCTTTGATGACGACGGAAAATTTAGTGAATTAAGATTTAAAGCTAAAATATTACGAAAATATAACACTTATAAATGGATATTGGAGCATCCATGAAATTAAACCGGTGACCGACTATACTTGAGATTTAATGTACTCTGGGAGATTTCGAATGAAGACGGATAAAGCTATTTGCGTTTGTCTGTGTTATGCAGAGATGTTGGTAGTTAGATGGTAAAAACGTAATTGTTCTGGACCCGGTTGTACGAAGGGTGTATAGCGTTATCAGACGGATAAATGTTATCTCTCAGATAGCGCTATTCACCCTTCATACAACAGGGCCCTGGAATTTAGAGAACCAGATAGAGCGAGAGAAATGATTAAGTCAAACTGATGCGCGCGTGTGCAAGATTATAACGAACGTGATGTCCTGGACCCTAACAGCTGGGTAGCGTGGCCTTGATCCAAGATGGCGGCTTTGTTCAATACAACAATTATGAACACAACATATAATAATTTTTTTATCATTCTCTAGGAAAGTTCCCTCACCCTTTCGACCAACTAGTACCTCAAGTACTTCCTATACCCTGTTTATTAGTTGTTTGAGAGGATAGATTATTTGAGGAACTACGATGGCTGAACCAATGGAAGTGGAAGAAGAACCAGTGGACAGTCAACTTACTCCTGAGAGTATTAAAGTGATAGCTGAATCTGTGGGCATAGCTAACCTGAACCACGAAGCTATTGCACTTATTGTGGACGAAGGGACTTATAGACTCAAACAGCTTGCTCAGGTAACTTAAAGAAGAGCAAACAACTCTAAAAATCCAAGGAATTAACTTGTAGTTCTTGTAGCTTAAACATACTAGTAATTCCAGTGGAAGTCAGTTTTATATACTGGTATCGTAAGTGTTTTTGTTTTTGTGTGTAGGAAGCAGCTAAGTTTATGCAGCATTCAAAGAGGGGGCAGCTGGCTACTAAGGATATTGATAATGCATTGAGTGTGCAAAATGTGGAGGTAAATGAAAGTTTAAACTATGAACAAAGTTTATTAGATTGTCTGTGTGACCATACCATCAGGGTGATGGAAAATTCATGTTTGATGGCTTCAAATTTTTCACAGTGTTTCTCCAATATCTTAGGTTACGCTATAGTGTGCATCTTTTTTTCAATGAATACCATGTTTGCTTAGTATTTAGCAGAAAAATAATGAATTCATTGACCCCTATTTTTTATTAGCAGTGACTATTCGTATGGTAACCGTAAATGACTTGCAATTTCTATTCATACATACATTTAAATAGTGTGGGACTTTGGTTCTCCTCACTTAGAAAAACAAATTCAATGGCAGGCAAGATTTGAACCTGGTATCCTTAGCACCAAATTACAATACCTATCCCAACTCTAACCCTAAACTTAGCCACTCAGCCACAAAGTGAATTCGTTTGAGGCTTTCGGATTTTTGTCATTTGAAACAATATCAAAATATTTAATATGAATAGAAATTGCAAGTCAGCGTACAGTTACCGTAAGAATAGCCACTGCGTTTTTTATTTCCTTTTTTGAACAAGAATATGTTGGGGTGTGTTTATGCAAAGTTTAAGAACAATCTGATTGCCACCTCATTTGCCTGCAAATGTCCTTAGAATACAATTGTGTAGTTCCAGAAATCATCCATACCCACCCCACAGAGGAATTTGGAATTTCCAAAGAGTAAGGGGGTCAGAGAAAGAACAAAAATTACAGATTTTGTATGGAAGAAAATTGGAATTTCCAGGGGGTAGGGGGGGTGTCTTCCTCTGTGAGAGGGGAATGGATAATTTTTGGAACTACACATTCCCAATTTATCATTGTATCGATAATACAGTGTACTCAAAGATAATTTGTTTTCCATGTTTTCCAGCCATTATATGGGTTCCATGCAGCAGATTTCATACCATTTAGGTTCACCAGTGGTGGAGGACGTGAAGTTTATTATTACGATGATCCAGAAATTGACCTGAGTGATGTCATAATGACACAGCTACCACGCATCCCTGTTGATGTTACTTTAAAAGGTAAGTACATTTACTTGCAAGAACGTTGTCATACGAAAATAGAACA